AGTGTCGACGTGGCCTTCCGAGGCCCTTGCACCCTTACCGCGCATCCTTCTGATACGGGTTGACTGTAGGACAGAGGGTGTTCATTCCAGCCGATGTCGTACGGGGGCGGGCGGACAAGCGGACGAGTGGGCATCGTCGTAGTCTTCGCCGTCGTCGTTGGCTGTCGTCGTCTCGTTATCGTTCGTCATTGTCGACGTCTGTCGTCGTCGTCCTCATTGTCGTGTCCATCGTTTGTTGTTCGCCTTCGAGGCACTGCCACATGGGGAGCAAACTGGAACAGTATGCTGTTGGCCCCCAGGCGTTCCCACGTGACGAGTGTAGAGTGGAATAGTAAGTGCACCTCCTCGCGGCTTTGTTCGAGACGAGGACTCGTAGTTATCCAGTTGTTTGTGGGCAAGTCCCGCCACCTGGCCAGCCCAGTTTGGGTGGCGACCGTTCCAGGGGGCACGGGAGGCCGTCACTTGTGACACTTCGTGTCTCCAGGTTCGGGGGAGCCGTGGTGAGGATGATGAGGGTTATGAGGGTGATTGCGATCTCGATCGAGTGCGACACGGGGTCTGTGGAGCCACGGGTCGATTGGGTCAACCGGACCACTCACGAAGCTGAGCCTGCGCTGGGGCGGCCGAGGGTTGATGACCGGATCGCGGCCCAACGCCAGAGGAAGTGGAGGTGGGCGGCACGGGCCTCAACCGAGCAGCACAAGCGGACCTGCAGAGCTCGACGCTCGGATCCAGAATGGCGCGCAGATCATCGGCAAGGGGTTCGCAGGCTTCAGCAGGCGAGGCCAGAGACCCGATGGACCGGTGGCATGCGCAGACAAGTGCAGCATCTTCTGAGCATTACCGATGACCCTGATGGCTGGACAGGTTTGGCCAGCACGCCAGCGTGGACTGAGCTTGAGACCCGCGTTTGTTCATCCCAATGGTGCCCGATTCCCCGGCTTCTCCAGCCGCATCTGCTTTACTTGATTTTGGGCGCTCTGGCCCCGCCCCGCTTGGTCCCCCCGCGTCGACACCATTGCGGGCAGCGCCCGCGTCAGTGCCGTCGGAATTATGAGGAGGAGGAGGAGGAGGAGGAGGAGGCGGAGGTGGAGAAGGGGGAGTTGGAGGAGGAGGAGGAGGAGGAGGAGGAGTTGGAGGAGGAGGAGGAGGAGGAGGAGGAGGAGGAGGAGGAGGAGGAGGAGGAGAAGGGGGAAGAGCAAGGCCGTCAGATGTGACACATTTGGTTTTCATCGTTAGGGGAGCGCTTATGAACTCTTGCTGGCCGTCCAGGCCTCCTCTGAGGCAGTCATTGGGGTCCCTTGGGGCTCTCATGGACTGTCTTCGGGCGCTCTTGCGCCGTCTTGGGGCCCAGGTCCTGGGGCCCTCTTGGCCGTATAGTGGGTGTCTGGGGGCCGTCGTGGGACCGTCTTGGCGCGGGCCCTTTTTGGGCCGTCCCGGGGCCGTCTTGGCCGCCTCGGTCTCGAGGCCGCACGAGGCCGTTTGGGTGCCACCTTGGGCCGCAGTTGAGGCATCTTGAGCAATCGTGGTGTTTTCGGTTGCCTGCATGGGCCGCCTTGGAAGCCTTGGACGCGGATGCATCTCTGCACGTGGGATCGTGGCCTCGGGAGCCCGGGCCCGCAGCTCTGCCGCAAGGGACCGCGGCCCCCGGAGCGGGGGGTGCATGCAGAGCTCCGCTGCCAGAGGAGAGGGGGCCCCCTCGCTGGAGCACAGGATCGGCGGCGAGCGAAGGGGCCCCTCGCTAGAGCACAAGATTCGTGGGGAGGAAGAAGGAGGGGGGAGGAGGAGGAGGTAGGGGAGGAGGAGATGTGAGGAGGAGGAAGGGAGGAGGAGGAGGAGAGGCAGGAGACTGCCTTCTCCAGAGGTTCGGAGGGCCCACGGCCTGCCGAGAAGTGTTCCAGGCCAGGCTTTCCCAAACGACGCCGGGAGGCTCCTCGGAGGCCGGCGGGCCTCCGAGAGGCCCCCGCCGCCGTCGGAGGTGGCCTCCCTCCTCCTCCTCCTCCTCCTCCTCCCTCCTCCCCTCCGCCTCCTCCCCTCCGCCTCCTCCTCCTCCTCCTCCTCCTCCTCCTCCTCCCTCCTCCGCCTCCTCCTCCTCCTCCTCCTGCCCTCCTCCTCCCCCTCCCCCCCCCCCCCTCCCCCCTGGCCCGCCGCCTTCGGAGGTGGCCTTCTCCTCCTCGCTTCCCCCCCCCCTGGCCCGCCGCCGACAAGAACTCTACGGTAGGTTTGCGTCGTGTCGACCAGCGGCGACCCCAGCGCGGGCGTTCAAGGTGGAACGCCGCCGGCGACCCAGAATCGATCGATGTTGAACGATTGGACGTTGCGGAGACGGCCGATCGTTCAAGGTTGAACGATCCCTGCGGTGTCAAAAACCAACGCTGGGGTCGGCACGACACGAACCCGCCGTACCTGACAGCACTTGGCATTCTTCAAGCAGTGGCGAAGCGTCCTGGCGTGCCTGTAGGCCTGCCAAAGAGTGTTTTAAGAGCCGTCTGTGGTTTTCCACGAAGTGTTCTCAGGACATTTCTGGCTGGGGCTGCCCTGCTTTCACACATCGGGCTTCTGGTCTAAGAACTTGTGGTTTTTGCTCTTGGACATCTTCGGGTTCTCAGGACATTCCGTGGTAGGCCTGCAGGAGTGCCGGGACGGTCGGTCCTGGCTCAATTTCTGCCACGCCCTGACGTGTGGGCGGCCCCGCCCCACCGACTCCACGGGTCAGGCGGCCCACTCGCTTGCTTTCCATGCTCACGTGCAGAAGGAAGCCTTGCAGACATGCCGGTCAGGGGATGTGCAGTCGACCCGCACGGTAAGGATGGGCAGCCTTCCAAAGGGTGCCCTTGCATCCTTGCATCCTTGCGTCCATCCTTGGCCGCTCTCGCTGGCCAGCCTCACCAAATGACATGAGCGTGGCCTTCCAAGGCCCTTGCATCCTTACCGCGCATCCTTATTACACGGGTTGATTGTATCAGAAGGCTCCCCGCCTCCCACCTCCTCCGCATCTCGGGCGACGAAGTCTTTACATATGCACTGCTCCCTGGCCAGGCCCACCCTGAACCCAGGAGCTGTGCACACGCCCTCCTGGCCAAGCCACGAGGGCGTGGCGTATACACCGCTGATGGGTTCGGGATGGGCCCTGCAAGGGAGCAGTGGACATGTACAAATTGCGTCGCCCTGGAATCCTCCTCCTATTCGTTCATTTTAGGCTGGCCCCGGGACCCCTGCCAGGGTCCGTCCAGGCCCGTCTTTCGAGCTGCGCCCACCGTGTGGCGACGAGCGCACCCCCCCCCCAGCCACCGAAGGCCAAATGAAGAGGAGGAGAAGTATGAGGAGGAGGCGGGAGGAGGTGGGAGAGGCCCTTCGAATCCTTGAAGCCTGGAACCCCCTGAGCCTCGAACCTCGATGACGACGAAGGCGACGACGACGACGACGACGACGACGACGACGACGACGACGACGACGACGACGACGACTGCGACGGCGACGACGACGACGACGACGACGACGACAGGCGGCGGGGGACATCCGCCCGCGGGCCCCATCACACGTCAGCTGTTGGAGGCAGCGACTAAAAAAACGAGCGGCGCGGTGGCGCGGCGCGTTCTGGCAGCGTCACCCAGAAGGAGATCTGCCCTGCCCACATTGCCGCGCATGTTCGCGCCGGTTCAAAGAAGAGCGTTTCTTTAAGCAGATATGATGTTTCGGGGGTGGACAGAACCCCCACCATGACGCGTCGATTAGTGAATTATCAGTTTTCGGTTCTCGCGAAGGCGCCGCGGCCATCATTTTCCAGGCTTGCGCCCAACAAGTTTGGGCCCGAGGTCGTTTTCACTAAACCACGTTTTGCTAAAGGGGATTCTGTCCATCCCCGAATGTTTGTCAATTCCATGGAGCTGATCCGGACGACAAAATCGTCGATACATTATCATTACTCTGGGCGGGGGGGGATTCATTTGCACCTGCGCGCGGCCAATCAGATGTTCGAAGGCACAATTGGAAAAACGCACCCTTACTTAGCTTAGCTACCATCCCGCTTACAAACACCCCGTTTGCAGGGGTTTGGATACAGTTTCGGAGCTACTCGAGGACTTCTTGGATCTGCGCTAGGCCTCCCTGGCGGGACCTCCAACGCTGGTCCTACTCCTCTTCTCCTCCTCCTCACACTTCTCCTCCTCCTCCTCCTCCTGCCGCTCCTCCTCCTCCTCCTCCTCCTCCTCCTCCTCCTCGTCCTCCTCCTCCTCCTCCTCCTCCTCCTCCTCCAACCCTCCTCCTCATCCTCCTCCTTGTGCAATTGTGTATCCTCCCACTGACGGGTGGCGCCTCCGGCGGCGCCCCTGGCGAGCTCCGCGCGCCAGGGATAGGGGGCTCCAGCGCCGATCCAAGATGTCTGTGCGGAGCTCGGCAGGTCTATATTACGGGAGGGAAAGATACACTTACACTGGCACAAGGACCAGATCAGGGGAGAGATGCCAACGCCCAGAACATGTGTGAACAGACAGGTGGGGGATCCTGGGATCCGTGCCTGCTCAGTGTTCGTCTTCGGATTCGTTGTGTTGCCGATCGGCGCTGGCCCTCGCACCCCCCCCCCATGGAGTGGATCTTGGCTGTTCTTGGCGCCCGTTTCGAGCAGGTGGGGTCACCCCCATCGTATGGGCGCACTGTTGCAAACAGTGGCACTGAGCAGAGACAGGTCCCGAGCCAGACCCCCCCCTGGAAACGCCGAAGAAGAACACGTTCACTTATTTGTGTCGGGGCAGTGCTCCGTCCCAGTGCCGCCCGTGACTCGGTGACTCGCCTCCTCCATCTCCTCCTCCTCCTCCTTTCTCCTCCTTCCTCCTCATCATCATCATCCTCTTCCCTCCTCCTCCTCCTCCTCCTCCTCCTCCTCCACCTCCTCCTCCTCCTCCTCCTCCTCCTCCTCCTCCTCCTCCTCTCCTCCTCCCGTGCTGGCCCCCGAGAGCGGGGCGGCCACGACGGAGGTCCGCGCGCCCTCTCGCTTACCGCAGGACAGCGGCAACGACGTGCTCGACAACTTTCTCGCGTCCCTGTGAGCCGCGGGGCTGGCGCTCGCCCTGCTCGCCTCGCCCTTCTCCCTCCTTCCTCCTCCTCCTCCTCCTCCTCCTCCTACCTCCTCCTCCTCCTCCTCCTCCCTCCTCTCCTCTTCCTCCTCCTCTCCTCCTCCTCCTCCTCCTCTTCCCTCCTTCTCTGCCCGTTTCTCCTCCTCCTCCTCCTCCTCCTCCTCCTCCTCCTCCGCCTCCCTCCTCCGCTGCTCCTCCTCCTCCCGCCGCCTCCTCCTCCTCCGCCTCCTCCTCCTCCTTCTCCTCCTCCCGCCTGCTCCTCCCTCCTCCCCCCGCCTTGCTCCTCCTCCTTCTCCTTTCCTCCTTCCCCTCCTCCCCTCCTCCTCCCCTCCTCCTCATCACTCCTCTTTCCTCCTCCTCCTCCTCCTCTCTCCCCCCCCGCCTGCTCCTACCCTCCTGCCTCCCGCTTCCTCCTCCTTCGCCTCCTCCTCCTCCTCCTCCTCCTCCTCACTCTTCCTCCTCCTCCTCCTCCTCCTTCCTCCTCCTCCCCCCTGCTCCTCCTCCTCCCCCCGACCTTCCTCCTCCTTCTCCTTCTCCCTCCTCCTCTTCCTCCTCCTCCTCCTCCTCCTCCTCCTCCTCCTCCCGCCACGGCCCCGGAGCCCCCGAGTCCGAGGGGGGCTCCGGGGCAGCCCGGGCGCCCGCGCCGCGCGGCCAGCGCGACGGGCCGCCCGCGCGCCCACGCGCCCGGCCCCGCCGCCTCAGCCTGGCCGCCCCCGCCGCGCCCGCCTCCCCCGCCGCCCCCGCCGTCCTCGCCTCTATCTCACCTCCGCCTCCCCCGCCTCTTTAGGCCTCAGCGCAGGCCCGCCGCCTGGCGCAGCTGCGGCGCCAGGTGGCGCTGCAACGCGCAGCTGACCACGGCGCGCGCGCGCGACAGCTCCGGCTGCTGCTCCTCCTCCGGCAGCTCGCGCACGTGGCTGACCAGCCAGTGGCGCGCTTCTGCGCCGAGCCGCCCCGCGGACTCCACTGCGAAGGCGGTCAGCCGTTCGCCGGGATAGCGGTCGTGCTTCTCTCGTTCTGCGCGGGGAGAAGCCTCTCCAGGCCTCCGGGCGGCGACGCGCACGGCGGGCGCGTCCCCCGCCGCGAGGTGGCGCACGGTGACGTCCACTCACCTCCGGCCATCAACGTCTTCGTACTGGACATCGAGGATCGCCCGATCGAAGACGGCGGGGCCGGCGCCCTCGGCCGCTCGCCGCGGCCAGAAGTGGACGCGCGCTGTTCGTGCAGCGGGCGGTCGAGAGTCCACCGCGCCACCACCGTGCCCACCGCCTTGGCCAACCCGCCGTGGCGCCGCACGATGCCTCCCCCGTGCTGGCAGGTGCCCGCGTGGTATAGCAATTTTCGTCGAGAGGCGCCCGGCAGCGGACCCCCGCGCCCGACTCGTTGCAGCACGTCGCAGAGGCCCGCGCGAGCTCGGCACAGGAGCACTCTGGCCGCGGCAGCAAAAGGCGGCAGCGGGTCCCTGTGGCCCACTCCACGTCTTCCAGCTCACACGCAGCCTCCGTGGGGTACTGCAGGTACGCCCCGGACCCCGGCCCGTCGGCGGACTGAAGGACAGCCTGATTGCGTAGGCACACTCGTCGGCCAGCCAAGCGCCGCGGCGAGTCGGACGGCGGGGGAAGGCTCCGCGCCCTGGCGCGCCAGTTCTGCGCGCGCCTCTCCGCCAGCGTCGCCGCGTTCTGGGGGAGGGTTTCCAGCGCGTCCGCGAGCGAAGCAGCGCCCAGGTCGCGGCGCACCCCGTCAGCAGCGTGCGTCCCGGCGGCCCAGACGGCCGCAGCGCGCCTCGTGGTCGCCCACTGGGCCCCCTCGCCGCCGAGCTTGCGTGGTAGGCCCAGCAGCTCGCAGGCCTCGGGTCCCAGAGGGTGGTCCAGCAGCTGCTCCCAGCAAGCGCTCAGCGCCGCGTCGTAGCTGAAGGCTTCGTCGGGCGTCGCCAGCGCAAGCTGGAGGTAGTGTTGCTGGCGTTGCCCGCGTAGGTCGTCAAGAGCGCCGCCCTCTCCTGCCCACCCTCTCCTACTTGGAGAGGCTATCCACTCTTATCCGTCTTGATTCCTCCTTCCTCCTTCATCCTCCCTCCCCCCTCCGGTTTCCTTCATGATCCCTCCTCCTCCTCCTCCTCAGCATCATCATCATCATCAGCAGCAGCAGCAGCCTCATCATCATCATCATCATCATCATCATCATCATCATCATCATCAGCATCATCATCATCAGCATCAGCATCAGCATCAGCATCATCATCATCATCATCATCGTCCTCTTCCTCCTCCTCTTCCTCTTCCTTCTCCTCCTCCCTACTCCGCTTTTCCTGCTGCTCGTCCTCCTCCTCGTTATTCCTCCTCCTCCTCCTCCTCCTGAACACCATCGTTATCCTCCACCGTCTCTTCCTCCTCCTCCTTCTCCTCCTCCTCCTCCTGCTCCTCCTC